AGAGAGAGAGAGAGAGAGAGAGAGAGAGAGAGAGAGAGAGAGAGAGAATGAAAGCGGTATTGTAATTGCAAAAGAAACTTCGAGGCAACTTCGATAACATTCAAATATTATACATATTTCACTCGTTTCTCGGTGAAGCTTTCAAGTGATCAATTTTCCATTTGATGGAAAGTTTTCGGACTACGACAAACGTAATTAAAGCAAGCGCCAGCGCTTTTGTATCTGTGAGTATGGCTTTAAGAGAAACGGACACAGATACATTTCGAAACAATGAGAAAGAGAAAAAAAGAACTGTGCAATGCTATAGCAATATGTAATGTAATTTAATTTATCTCGGTTTCGGTATTGAGTTTCTGTGTATAATTGCATTAATTGAGTTTTACCCATCTATATTTGTTTGTTCGATATATTATTTTCCCTTTCGCCTTCTTCATCATCAATATTGTCCGGAACATTTATAAAACATTGAATATACATTGATAGAAACGGAAAATGATTTTCTTCTCTTTTAAATTCACTAAATTCACCATCCCATTCATCAATCGATTTGGTTCATGGAGATGATTTCATTTGATTCGATTTAATACATTTACATCAATTAATTCATGGGCTTCGAGCAAAAGCGAAAGCATAATGGTGCTAAAATCATGTGCAAATTGCATGGACTTAATATTATGCAATATTTTATTTACAATCTACATGGATAAATATGTACGACGCGATGGCAAAATTCGATTTGCATGAAATCACATCAAAAATACGAATGAAAGTGTACGTTTCAAAGATTGAGCGTAAGCTTTCTGATTTTTGTGGTATTCTGTGTTTGAATTTTGCCCTTGAATCAAATCATATCACGTCTTGACTACTTTTCGTTAAATTTAATTCTGCTTTTTACACATATATGCCTTCACATTTGCCATACGAAGTAGCCACATTTTATTATCGTTTTTATATTTCACCAAAGTGACCAATGTTAGTATACTTAAAGTAATAAATTGGTGGAGGGATTTTTTTTTTGTTTTAAATTTTAAGTTAGAATGATTAAATTTGGTTGAAATTATTCACCTGTTGTTAAACTTTTCTTCTTCCTCTGCTTTTTAGCTTCTGGTAATGCACACATTTTTTTATTACAAAAAAGTGAAAAAAAAAAAACAGAAATAATTCAAATAAAATTCATGCAAAACATAAATTGGTAATGAATTTGTATTTTGTTGTCAGAATTGAAAGATTATTAAAAAAATGCCTTTTTGTACATGTCATTTTTGGAAAAGGTTTTTTTTTAATATTAATTCATGTTGTTGCTGCTGCTGCTAGTTCTGCTGTCGTTCCTTAAAATTTGTTGTTGTGCGACAGCGCTTTGTGCTATTTGCATAGCAGCCTGTGACGGTTTTCCGTACGGAATTGCCACAATGACATGATGTATTTTTTTTTATTTATATTTTAAATAAGAGTACAAAACAACAACAACATAAAATGGAACAGCCACGGAGATGTGTGAGAAACATTGAATATTGCCAGCCAAAAAATGAGGTGGATGGATGATTCACTTCGAGGAGAAGCACTTAGTTGACGAAATGGGTGCAACGAAGATGATGAAAAAACAATTGAATTGATTGGTTGTATGTACTATGTTTTTTTTTGTCTTTCATTTGCCATTTTCTTGGTTAATGCAAATGGAATTCATCACCAATGACAGAGAGACAGCCATTTGTGCATATTTTCGGTATTGATTTGGGATTTTGGAATTAGTTTTTATTTTGTGATAACGAAATTTGACGTGACCGTCATGAGCATTTGTCTGGTTCCCGGATTATTATACACAATTGATAAAGATAGAAATTTTGAATGAATGATGATTTATATGGAAATAGCGTTTTCTTTATATTTTTTCAAGTATCGTCGAATTATGTGTTGAATCAATAAAATTGTGTGAATTTTTTTCCTTTATTCGTTCGTATTCAATGAACTAAACAGAAAAATCTAGGAACAGGGTCGGGTTTCAGGTGTGTTGGGGTCAACTGATTATTGATCAAACGCATATCACATACAAAATAAAATGTAATTCAGGTAATCATTCGCAATATAGAATGGAGATTATATAGTTGGTTGCTGGGAGGTAGATAATATAAGAGAATGAGAGTAAATAATTGTCTAGATATTAGGGGGACGGCATATCCGAAAAAAATTGATAAATCCCAAACATATAATTAAATTAAACTAAATTGGACCAAACGAATGACTTGAAAATGTTCCGTATCAATTTTTTTGTTTGGTTTAACATTTGTTCCGAATGCGCTAAGCTATAAATCTTATACGTATCTCCTTATAGACTTGAATAAATGATATTGTATCTCTAAATCATATATGCGTTTTGGAACATATATTTGTTTTGGTTGTGCACCAAACGTATGAGAAATGGAATGGAAACAACCGCAACAACATCAAAAATATACATATTTGTATGAAAAAGGAATAAAATATTTAAAGAAGTACGATTTATGCACATGTTCAACGGTGCACGCATATTGATATATATAAAAGCACGACAATTGATTGACGTTGTTTGACTGAATTGCAATTCTACCTTTCTTCATTTTACGAATTTCGGCTTCTTGTTGATCAACGGCAGCACCTAATAATGTGAATATAATACCGGCCTGCGAATTGACACCGACGGCTGTAACAACAATTTTACCGCTTCCCTCCATAACATGTGTTCCTGATAGAACCATCGGATCGAATGCCTCGCCCTTTTTTACATGATCTGATTCACCAGTCAGCGACGATTCGTCCACCTGTAAATTTCATTTTTCGTTTGTCAATTTAAATCGTGTCAAAGAAGTGGCGAAAAACACGAACAAAACACTTCAAAGAGTTAGTAAATCGAGTAAAAAGAACTGTGAAACTGTTCAAATTACAAAATGAACCTCATTGAAAAGTCATTTCGGAAAATGTTCTTCGACTACATACCACCACATATATGTTTGTGTACAAATCGCTTTAAGTATTCCTAAGTTTACCAAGTAAGTTGTAAAATAGTTTTGAAAATTACCTTCAAGTCATTACTTTGGATCAATATACCATCGGCCGGTAAGAGATCGCCGTACTTTATTTGACATATATCACCAACGACGATGTCCCCTACCGATATATTTTTTGCTTCACCATTACGTATGACCGAAAACTTGTGTTCGCCTTCAATACGGTTTTGTAGACCCCGAAATTGTCGTTCTTTGGAATAATCATTGAACGCAGTTACAATAACAACAACTATGACGGATATTAATATGGCTAAGCCTTCAATCCAACCGTGGCCTTCATCTTCTTCTTGACCTTTTTTAACGGCTGTAAAAGAAATGGAAGCAAATACGTCACAATTGATACGATAAATGTGATGTGATTTTCGAATGATGAACGAACGAAAATGGTAAACGAACAAATTGAATACTTACGTGTTTCTTCTTCTTTCGGTGAATAAAAAGACAAACCAAGGGATACTAGGGCTGCTACTTCTAAAATAATAAGTGTCACATCTTGCAAGGCTTCCCATACTAACTGTAAGAAGGTTTTCGGTGGTTTCGGTGGTATTGTATTTGAACCAAATGTTTCTCGCCTATGTTCAATATCGGCACGTGAACCACTTAAGCCTTTTTAATGGAACCAGAGAGGAAAGAAAAGAAAAATGAAAGAAAACCAAATATTGAGTGACACAGTGAAGGAGCAAGAAATAATGTGATTGTGATTCACAATGAAATTGTGTCGTTATCATTTCGTCTATTTTAGTAAATTATTGTGGAAATTTCATCAAATTGAGATAATAAATTCAATAAAATTGCATGGACCGGTGTCGGTTTATCATTTTAACTTACCTTCATTTGGTGAGGTATATAATTTTTTACATAATTCCTGTACACCACCTACTTCATTTATCCGGGCAATACCTAGAGTTGATCAGAAGAAAAGAATGGAAAAATGGAAATTAATCAATAAGTAATGGAACAGAATGTAGAAAGTATTTAGTTTAAGCGGCCACAACAACATTGCCTCAATTTGAGATTTGGTAGTAGTAGTAGTGGTGATGGTGAGATCGTTGATCACTGTGGAAGAGAAAAAAATTGCATTAATATGCTTACTATTTCTATAGTACTTGTTAGCATCGTCCACTACTACGTCTTGGTATCATTGTTTGAAACAACGAGATTCCCATTATGAGAATGTTCGCGTAGACGTGCTTAAATTTTTGATTGTTGATTTTAGTTGTAATAATGAAGTTGATGCCTGAATGGTCGAAAACAATATGGCATCGGCAGATGATTCAACATGTACAATCCCTTTCTAATCATATTCCTCGCTGCATTTATTTCGCGATTGAATGTTTTCGGTTCCACCTGCTTCTTGTATCGCATTTTCTTTTGTCTTGGTTGTGGATTGGGATTTGCTTCTGGAACCGGTCGATGGAATGTATATACGGATCGATATTTCCATTCTCTATATTTCTTTTCGTATGTGCGGTGAACTCTGTCTGTCCATTGAATTGAATCGTGAAAAACGCCATCTTCGACCGGTTTTCAGTTGGGGCAAACTAGAAAACTGTTTTTTTTTGGTTCGACAACGAAGAATCATTTATGTACAATCAATGTCATTACCAATGAGTGGTATGCCAATCATAAACAACTTACAGGTCTTTCAATTGACGTTCTGGCACGATCTTTCGTTTCTTGAGCTTGCGTCCTGATCGACTGCACTTCTGGGATGTATTATATTCGTTGATTGGCAAAACGTAATCACGTGCCGTTTGTTGCAATGTTCGATGCGGACACCGTAGATATCCTTTGATGGGTGAATATGATGCAAATGTTGCACCACCAAATTCCAATATCAATGTTTTCTCAGCATCCAACATTTTACGATCGAATTTTGTCATTTGCTTCACCAATACATGCAACGCTACCTGCGTACGTGCATATGCATCAAACTTTAAACGAAACACACATGTTTTTGATACTTTATCTGTAATAATTAAGAATGAATGACACACATCAATAAGATGAAATCAATTCAAACGCAGTTTTGTGGTTCTTCGTAGCGATAAAAGGCACTCTATATACATACAAATTGATCAAACATCTTATTACAATATTCAAATCTACTCACCAGAATCTCTCTCTCTCTCTCTCTCTCTCTCTCTCTCTCTCTCTCTTTGTGTGTGTTACTGCTGGCGTATGTCCATCCGTTCGCTATACAATGCTGTCGCTGTGACGTTGCTCCTATGCTGTTGTGAGTCCAACATATCCACTACTACCAAATCTCAATTTTTGTCAGCAGTCTGTTTGCCGTTGTGGTCAAACTATATAGATTCTTACATTCTAATGGTTTCCCAATCATCTCTCACTCACTCAGTCATTTATTCGGCCACATACACACACACACACTCTCTTTCTATCTCACATACATTTCTGTTTCCATCATCATCATCATTTGAAAAATCTCATTGCACATATTATAGAATTAATGTGAATGACGATAATGGAAAAAGAATCAAAGGAATGAATCAGGAATTGTAGAGTAATGGAATAGTAATTTTTAAGTAAGTATTTCTTGGGCAATACCTTCGCGTCCACGGTGCTCCATGAGCTCCCGCAGAGTCTTGAGAGATACACCATATTGTGTAGGTCGCCCATCTATAGTGGCCATTTATTATGTTTGAGTATTTCTATCTGTAATTGAAAAGAATAAAAGTCGAGAAAAGTTAGCAACAATGTGTGATTTTCCTTCTGACAGAAGAACAAAAAGCATCTATAGATAAAAAATATATAGCAAACAGAAGAAAGAAACAAAAAAAAATGCCGTACGACGCTCACTGAAATGCGCCAAAAATAGAACAATTTCAAAATTTGAAATAAGAAACTGCCGCAATTTTTTGTTTGTTTTATTCGTTTATAATAGATTACAAAATGAATCATTTTAAATGATATCAAAGTTTTCTGTGTGAGTGAGTGGATTTCACAATATATTCGCAAATTTAACAAAGGTAATATTGATCCGAGTGTGCAGAATGCAAAGAATTCAATTTTCAATGTACTGGTGAATTGATTATTGTTTCATGTAACACTAGCAATCATCCAGAGTGTGTCAACCTTAAGTCGGTCATCATTTCAATATAAATCAAATGAAAAAGAAAAAAAACTGGTTTTTCGACGTTTTTCCTTCAATTCTTTTTGCTCATGACTAGTCTCTCTAATTGACGTAATTTTTATCATAATTAAATTGATTTTTCTTGCATTTTTTTCACAGTTTCAATGTTAATTCTATCATAAATGTTAACGCAATAATACAAATACACAAAACAAAAAAACAAATGAGTGGATGCGAAAAAAAATGAACTTCAAGATGTTTTCATAAATGTTTTAAGTGAACAAATGATCACATTGGCTATTGTGTGCACGAGCGGCGAAGCGCGGGCGCAAAATCTGCAATAGTGAATAGAAGAAAAATGACAGTGGTTCGTGTGTTTGCCCAAACGCAAACAGTTTCGCAGGCGCACAAAAATGCCAATCACACACAATTTAATGTGCTCTTTCGCTTTTGCTCTCCGTCGTCAGTTGATTGAAGTTTGATCTTGTTGTTATGTTGAAAATGTAAGGCTACCATTTTCGATGTTAATTTTTGCTCATTTTACATAAATTAATGTGTGTACAAATGTTCATTTATTTCTCTCTTTTTTTTCTCTTTTGCCCAGTTTTTTTTTTTCTTCTTTTCTTTGCTCGAAACAATTTCTCGAGCGTAAGCCGCTTTGAGTGCGATCGCGTATAATACGTGAAAATTGTTTACTTTGCACATTGTCTTCTCTTATTTGTGTGTATGGTATGTTTTTTTTTCTCGGCTCAAAACACGCTTCACATATCAAATATTGATGTGAAATTGAAAATTTGAAAACGAAACCTTAATCAAAGTAACTTTAAACATTTCACTACTGATTGATATCTATCAAATGAAGCAAAATGGAAACAGAGAAGAAAAAGAACGATGGAAATGGCTCAAGATAAAACAAAACATTGAAGGAAAAATGTGAAACAATGTTTTGACGAGATAAAAAATATCAAGAATATATAAAATGGCAAGAAGAATCACACATTTTACACTCGCATATGCTACTGTTTTTTTTTTGTTCAGCCTAAACTCACTAATTAATACCGATTTGACCTCGTGCTGTTCGTATGCGCAGATCATTTTGAGAGACACTGTAATTCATTTAGATTTTTTTTGTTTCGTTGCTTTCAAACGTGTTGTGTTTACGCTTTTTTCCTACTGTTTTGCTGAAATTTACTTTACAATTTCTTTTATATATATTCATATATATTTGTGTATGTAATCAACTCGACGCGTTTCTATTTTTTTCTTGTTGCTACTATTGTCTTTCGTGTGTCGCATTTTGTATCAATTGCAAAGCAAGCACGAAATGCGCGAAAAGACAAAAAAAAAACAGTACCGAATGAAACATAGAGCTCAAGAATATGAGAAAAAGGGGAACACGAAATGAAGAATTATAAAATGATGTCATAACTGATAGCATAGAAGACTTAATTGAATTCATTTTGCATATATAGTTTCTTCACATATTTTAATAACAATAGTTGGATTCACAAATCTGACTAAAAATATATCGCTTACACACAACGAATAATATTCGACAACAAAAATTGTTTCAAAATACATGTATATGTGGAATAAGCATCCAAATCCCTCTTGATTGAATGAAAAAATCTGAAAAAAAAAAACACATTGACTTTGATGAGGCTTAAGCAACGAATGCGTGCGCATCTGCTTTTCAACTGGTTGTGTGGCGAATGTTTAACGGAAAAATTGAGGAAATCCCTTGTGAAGAAAAACAACAACAACCGAAGAATATAAAAAGGTAGAAAAACAAAAGAAAAACAGACACACGACGTAAAAAAGTTTTCACATTCTTATAACGATGACGACGACAATAATGATTGACTAACGAACGGACCCGACTATTTTTGGATCAGTTCACTAATTTTGGATAGCGATTTTGATTCAAAATCCGATCAATTTTCTCATTTTCTATCTTTCACGCTTTCTGTCTGACTGTCTGTCTTTTGCTGCCGAAATAAATGTGGACACGCCCATCAGGTATCAATCATTTCATTCGGCATGGGGAAAGAGACGAAAGAAAGTACGGTAATTTGTAACCGATGTTCCACAGAATTCATTCTTATCACATTGAAAGTGTTTCAAATATGAAACACCATTCATAGTTTTTTTTCTGTTTCACTTTGATGGTTTTTTAGTTTTTATTGAAAACAAAACAAAAGTCGCGCCGCAAGCGACATTTTCTATTATTTCCGTATCAAGTAAATGACGACAATAATAGTAACGAAGATAAATAAAAAAAAGAAGAAAACAAAAGTTTAGTAATCATCGGGTGACTGCAATTCGTAATGTCATACGCTACAAATGATGTCATTTGCTACGATAAAACTGTACTTGTTTATTAATATTCAACTGGAGAATTTGTAAGCATTCATACTGGTTTTGATTATTACATTTGCATTTAAATAAACAAAACAGAGAGAAAAAGAAGAACGACGAAAATACACAGGTTCAGTGCAATTTGCAGTTACAATGCTCATCGAATAACAATTGTGCATACACAACAGTAATTACACATTAGTGAGATAGTGAGATTGAGATTGTAAAATAACTATACCATTACATATTGTAACATTTTAAAAAGGCAACACATTTAATTAACCGACGTCAAACCCAAAACAATAAAAGCAAAGACGTTTTTTTTCCTGCGGCTGATATATCGATTGTTTCGATGTTAAATATGTCCCCAAAATTTCCATATTATCATCATAACATCGTTAAATTAAAAAAAGCAATCGTTCGTTCAAACATTCATTCCAAGTTATTATGATTTAAAATCGTAAAATTGGATTAGGTACGTGCTGGTTTAAATGGCAGACATTTTCTCTTCTCTTTTTGAAGAGTCAAGAAAAATAGGGGCCGCGACGAAAGTTTCGGTCACCTTGAAATTTCAAACATTTTTGAGTGTTTTGGACTTGGAAATTTGTTTGGTTCATAAAAGCAAAGTCAGACTCGGAAAATTCTAAATTCAATGACCAAATTTCAGCCCACTTTAACCACTTTTTTTCGAATGTACACTGTACAGTGTAAGGATAATTATTATTGCTTTGGTAGCGGACAACAATTTCGACTATTAGTTATAAAGAAAATTATTTAAAACCAACAACAACAAGGTCATAAGCTCCAGTTTTAAATTGTTTCTCTTTTTTTTCTTTTCATTGCGACATCGTTGCAGTCATCGTTGTTCTTTTTCTAGAATTGATACAATTCTGAATTGTTGATCGACAAATAATCTGAAGTATTTAATTACACAAACTTGAACTTGAATTAAGCATTATGAAGCAGTTTCAATGAAAAGAAAAAAAACAATTAATCATGTTTACGACACAATTTTCAACGTAAATTTGTTTGTATTAATGAACAAACGTAGAATAATTTTTCAATCATTATGAACATTGAATTGAACTCGAAAATAGGTTGGTGAGTAATTTAATGATCTGATGGAATCTATACGTTAATACTACAACGGTCATTAAAATATCTAATTTTTTGCCGATGTATTTTAATTTGAATATTATATTCCATATTTGATGCGTAACGTCATATTGAACAAAACTCAAAACAAAATCAAATGTCAATTATCAAGTGGAAAAGTACATCTTGAATAATTTATATCGAAAGTGAAATCAAAAATGTTGAATCGATATTTGCACTTTTTTTCAATTACATCTTTGTCGACTGTCGTTTCATTCCATTTGAACATTCGGTGCGATGTGGGTAGCGAAAAAAAGAGAGTTTAAATTAGCCAAAAGCACATACCGATATGTATAGTACGATACACCTGTTATTTCACTCACAGTCAATTATTCACAAGTAAAACGATTTTTTGATTTGTATTGACCCATAGACATACACTATTGCTCGACATTTTGTGTAAAAATTACCATGATTTTTGGTGTTTTTCTACGATATTGGTGAATAAAAGAGAGTAGCTAGTGACCAATAGTGGGCAAAAGAGAGAAATTTAGAGGGAAAATGTGCGCGTGCGACCGCTAAATGACATGGCCAAAAGGCATTACCAGTTTTTTTTTGTTTAATATTTTCGACAACCTGTAACAATGGCTCGAATAATCACACTGGAAATTATCTACATAATATAGCTTATTCAATCTCACCAATTCTGTAGTAATGCGCAAACACTTTGTACTTGACCATGTTTTAATTTCAGCATTGATAGCTCTTTCGAAATATGGCTGTCAAGATAGACAGATACGCTTTAAAACATCATATGTGACATGCATTTGATCATAGTTTTTATCTCATTTAAACAAAATATCGATAAAAGCCGATACACATGCGTCTTTCGACGTCTGGATCTCGAGTATATTATATTTAAGAGAAATAGATAGCATATGGATTAATATTGAATTGAAATTTGAGGATAAACGATGTAAATTCAATTCAATGCAGTTTATTTAATGATGAATCTGTTGAATATTAAGCTTTGTAATCGTTTCTTTTACAGTGAATTCAGCAATAATTTAGTATTAATTAAAATCTTGTTCAATGAATACCTTTAAATAATAATAAATCTTTCAATTCA